CAGTGAACCCTCTAGCCGCCAACTGGAGGAACGCGTTGACCACGTAGTGGCGATGCTCGGCGACATCAGTGTTTTTGCTGCACCTACCACCATCAGCAGTCAGCTGCACACCTTGAAGACCGAGGTCCAGCAGCTGCAGTCGACGAACTCGGAGGGCAATCCTAAGTTGTACAAGATGCCAACCTTCCAACTCGAGAAGTTCGACGACTACACGCATCAGGATCCGGTCCTCTGGTGGGAAGCATTCACGACGCAGCTTCGGATCCTGCCAGTCGCCAAGCATGCATACATCGGTGCCCTTTTCCTTAACTCAAAGGGCGCATGTCAGACTTGGTTGACCCATCTGGCAGCCACTCACGGCGTCGACGTGGTAGATCTTCGAGACAAGATCACATGGGAGGAGTTGGCACGGTTGTGGAAGAAGAGGTTCATCGTCGACGACGCGCCTGCCCTCGCCATCAACCGCCTCTTCACCATGACCCAAGGCAACACGACAACACGAGACTGGCTCACAGAATGGCAAAAGATCGCAGCAACGCCGGATCTGGACTTGCCATTTACGCATCTGCGCCGAGAGTTCTACAATAGGTCATGTGCTGCACTGAGCCAGACACTTGGTGATCGCGAGCAGTACTCAACCTTCGCTGAGATCATCGACAAAACGAGGGAGATCATCAAGACTAATAGGGCGGCTGCACACGAGAAATCAGCATGGCAGCCAACCTATGTGGAGAAGGTAAAGACTGGTCCGCGGCAGCAGCATTTCGCTGCAGTCCAATCGGACAGTGGAGACGACCCGGCAACCACCAAGGCATCAAGTGAAGGAGATCAGGTGGYTGCTGTCCAGCCRAGAAGCACCAACAAGTCCCGGAACAATGGGAAGGCGAAGACCGCATCATCGGCTGGAACAGGACAGCCAGCGCCATGGGTCAAGTTTAACTTGACCGAGGCCGAATACAAGTACCGTGGTCGGTATGGCTGCTGCTACTGGTGCAATAGCACCAAGCACAAGACCTCCCTCTGCCAGGACAAGGAGAAGGAGGATGTTCGGCCTCGCAACAACTCGGGAAACTGAGTAGCGTGGGAGGTGAGGCGACTCCACCTCCCACTCCGCCAGATCCGGCCGCCTTGCTAGCGGCCTCCTACACATCTGGGGAGGATGCGAATGTCGCAAGTTCTCGTGTCACTTACGAGGACTATGCTGTCCACTTGGTCCCACCGTTGGACCAACCACTCTACGTGCAACACTCCACCGCATGCACGGTTTCATCTCCATTGGCAAGCGATTCGGCAGTTCCGCCATCATTTACCTCAGGGGATTCGTCGATGTGGTCAAGACTTGAAGAGCTCGACCCGTTGACAGTCGCGAACTTCCAGTGGATGCCCGTTCCCCCGACCGGTCGATTGTCGAAACCGCATTACAATGTGCTCATGGCACAATTGCGGGAGTATTTGCACACTGCAGTACCAACTCCGTTGATGGACGCCGGAGTAGAGGTTGTCGACCTTCAGGAGTACATCGCGAAGATCGACCGCGAGTTCAAGACACAACGGTACGACGACATTGACGCACCATTGTTGTATGTACGCATTCTGCAGCGTCTTGATCGATTGCGGTGCAACTCGCAACTACATGAGTCAGGACTTCATGGTACGCGCCGGCCTTGGCCCACGCGTCAGGAGGAAGTCCCATCCGACACACGTGACGTTGGCCGATGGTCACAC